TAGCATGCACTACATTTCTGAACATAACTACAGGACTGGCTGTATGGCGTTTAATAATCTGAGGAAACTAATTTACTTTTCATCGCACTGATATCTGCAGGCAGGTTCTTGAGTTGATTACAAGCCAAATTGAGTCGCACTAAGTTAATGAGCAAAGCAAAACTTGTTGGAATGTCAGTGAGATGGTTGTTGGACAGATCCTGAAGATTTAAAAAAAGAAAGAGAGAGAGGGAGAGAGAGGTTAGAAACAGAGATGTTTAAAATATCCCATGAGTACTGTTACTGCAAAGTTAATTACTGGCAGAACATTAAAATTAGATGGATGACATCTTCAGGATCTCCCTGGTAGAAATGTGAATGGAAGAAACAAGTCTCTCATGACTGACAGATCACAAGGGATTTGATTTTACTTCAAATATTTGGCAAACCAAGAGCAAAACTTGGTTTCAAACAAACAAACAAAAAAAAAACAACCAACCCCTCTATGTAATAACTGACAACCTACATAAGTCATTAGAATATTCACAAAGTTCTGCCATCTAAGCTATGGGGGGTTAATTGGCAGTACAAAAAATGGATAAATCAGCCTTTCTGCACAAATAAATATATTTCAAAAAGTTGTAATTTACTAATTCTTCTAAATTGACAAGCTGTCCAAATCCATCCGGCAAGTGACTCAGCTCATTGTGATGAAGAAGAAGGCTCTTCAAGCGTGACAACTGCATCAACTCTTCTGGGATACTTTTCAGTTTGTTGTGGCTAGTATTCAAACACAGAACACAAAGGGAAAAATCAATTACTAAGGAGTTTTAAGAGCAAAACTGCATAAAGAACACTTCCGTCACCTATAACGCTCTCAAAACTAGTTACAACACTTGTATCAGATGGATTATTTTAGCCACACACTGCCGTTGAAGCACAAACTCTTCAGACCCTAGAGGAAGTATGAAGAGCATCCAGCACCTGACACACTGGCTATTCCGCGCTGGCACAGACTAATTGTTCATTACATCCGCAGTGAGACAGGCTTCTGCAAAACAGTCCCACACCGCAGCGTGCACACATGCTCGCTGTTGAGGATATTGTCACTTGTAAGAAAAATCTGTCTCCTACAACTGTTACAGCCCTCTACAATGGATTAGTTTCCTGGAAGAAATTAATTACCTTTGTTTATTTGTTCAAGAATACTTTTAATCATAAATCACTTCAAGGGTGGTAAGGCACTGGAACAGGTTGCCTAGAGAAGTTGTTGAGGCTCTGTCCCTGGAGGTGTTCGAGGCCAGGCTGGAGGTGGCCTTGGGCAACCTGGGCTGGTGGGAGATGTCCCTGCCCAGGGCAGGGGGGTTGGAATGAGATGATCTTCAAGGTCCTTTCCAACCTAAACCATTCTATGCATTCACAATATTCCAGCAGGATCTTGCATTCTTTTGTTTTATGTAGTTCACACACACCGTGGCAGCATAGCCTCTTTTGCCTCGTGCACAAACTTACAAAATTACTCCAGTAAACAAAAGAATATGAACTTTCCAGCATGAACAAGATCTATACAATTATTTCCAATGTATATTATTCATGACAAAAAGTATTTTTGTTCCTTTAAAACAAAATTGCCAGACTGAGGCACATGAATGTAGATAATGCTTTTGTGTGATTATTCAAAATATCACTGTTTTCACCTTCCAAGCAAGACTGTAACTTTATCAGTGAAAATAATTTTAACAAACCTAAGACCAACAGTTTTGATCCAAAACTTCTGATTCTCAATATAATACTATTCTTTAGTTAAAAACCTGAAACTAATTTTCTGAAAGAAAATGTGGCACACTTATAATAATTTCTTATTCACACTGTGGAATTCACTGCAATGTTTCTCATGTTCCAGTTTTGTAACACTTACTTACCTCACATCAAGTTTCTGAAGATTTTCTAATTGTCCTAAAGCAGAAGGAAGCGATGTCAGTTGATTATCATGCACCTGGAAAACGCAGGTTTCAGAATACAGTTACTAATTTGTACCTCGTAGGTTTTCTCTCCCTACCACAGACACAAATCAAGCAAGCCTAATACACCGAATAATTTTGGACACAATAGGTATGCACATGCCTCAATGCAATTACCAATAGCAGCACTGCAACGGCCAATCTGTCAAAATTCTACTGCATCGATAAATGCTAAAGGATGAGATATGAAGGAGAGGTGGGTGTGCGGGAAAGGTGGCTGCATCCAGCAAAATCTCTTCCTCCAGTGTCCGTAAAACTTCCTGGATCTTTCTACAGAATGGTACGCAGTTATACCACCAGTGATCTGTAACAATCTTATCTTTACCCTGAGAATACACCGATGACACTTCTGCACATCCACCGTTGCAGGGAAACGAAAACGCCGATCTCAGACCACGCTTTCCCACCTCCTACACAGAGGGTACGGCCCCATTGTAACGGGACCATCGTACTCACATCCAGAACAGTGAGCGCGGGCAGAAGTCTGACATCCTCCGAGAGACACTGCAGTTTGTTGGAGGCGAGGATCAGCTTGGTCAGGTCCGTCTGCTCCCACCAGCGATCCGCGGCGCCGAAAGACAGATTCTGGTGAGCTTCCTCTGGGGTATCCAAATTTATCCGCCACACGTGTTGAGGCACTACATAAACATACACGCGTCAACTACATACTGACCATACTTAAACCCTCCATTGTCATTGTGCTTTGCATATATACACACAGCCAACTGGTTTCTAAAGACATTTTTCCAGAGCTGACAGTAACAAGCTGATGGAAATCTGCCAGCAACCGCCCAAAACGAAGCTAAGCGGCCGGCAGGAGAGACCCATTGCTGCGTCTCGCCCTGTATTTTCCCGCCTTGCCCTGTGGCACGGCCAAGCAGGACCCGACGGGGTGGAGGGGCAT